ATGGCATCAGAGAGGGCCTCAATTGTATCTATAAAGATTTATGTTGTTTCTTGGGGAGTTTTTTGTCTTTGTTTTTTGTTTTTTGAGACGGAGTCTCGCTCTGTCACCCAGGCTAAAGTGCAGTGACTCCATCTCGGCTCACGGCAACCTCCGTCTCCCTGGTTCATGTGATTCTCCTGCCTCAGCCTCCTGAGTAGCTGGGATTACAGGCACGTGCCACCACCCCTGGCTAATTTTTGTATTTTTAGTAGAGACGGGGTTTCACCATATTGGTCAGGCTGGTCTCGAACTTCTGACCTCGTGATCTACCCCCCCTCAGCCTCCCAAAGTGCTGGCATTACAGGCATGAGCCACAGCACCCAACCTTTTTTTTTTGAGAGTCTCATTCTGTCACCCAGGCTGGAGTGCAGTGGCACAATCTTGGCACACTGCAACCTCCAACCCCCAGGTTCAAGCAGTTCTCATGCCTCAGTCTCCCGAGTAGCTAGAAGTACAGACACAGGCCACCATGCCTGGCTAATTTTTTTGTATTTTTAATAGAGATGGGGTTTCCAGGCTGGTCTTGAACTCCTGACCTCAAGCAATCTGCCTGCCTTGGCCTCCCGAAGTGCTGGGATTACAGGAGTGAGCCACCGCACCTGGCCTATAAAGAATTATGTTTTTCTAAAAATAATCCAAAGTATAAAAAATGTTTGGCTTCGATAGACTTGGATGGTGGCTATGTAAGAGTCATTGTACTATTCACTGAAATTGTCTATATTTTTTAAATATTTCATAATTACACATATTTGAATAATAAACCTGAGCCAAAATGGAAACTCCAAAATGTCAGACATGCCCATTCACCATTAAAAGACTCACTTCTACACACCAGCCTCAAAGTGTGCATTAAATAAACGAATGCCAAAAGTCCATCATGCACCCTGCACACACCTAGTGAGAGGGCAGGGGAATTCTACCATTAGACAAGGCAGCCATTTTTCTTCTCTTCATCAAGGACTGCTTTGTACTCATCCTAGTCACCCAACATCTCTTTTTGTGGGATCCTTCAAATTAGTTTATTTCACTTATTATTAGAATTTATCCTTCCAAAACAGGTTATCGAGTAGCATCTAATAAAGTTATAGCAATAATCAATAGAAATAAAATAAAAATGTGCGAGTTCAGGTTATCCTAGTAGCTATAACAAATAAATCTTGGCCTTGAAATCTTAGTGCTTTAGTGGCTTAGCACCAAAAAAAAGTTTATTTATCACTCACCCACTGGTCCATCTCTGTGTTCCTGGTGGAGCAGCTCTCCTCCAAGCAGTGATTCGGGGATGCAGACGCCTTTCATCTTTGGCATAGGTTTCCAATGTTGCTGGGATTTTTTGCATCAAACTACTTGAGGGGAAAGAGCATGAATAATTGCCCAAGGGTGATTTTTATGGGCCAGGCTTACAAATAGCATTCACCCATCTGCTCACATATTTGCCATAACTCAGTCACATGGCCACATACAAGTGCAAGGGAGGATGGGAGCCTTACTGCAGCCTAGGGAGAAAAGAGAATGACTGGTGACCATTCAGCATTTTCTGCCACCAACAAAAACCATGTTGCAAAGTGAGAGACAATACTGTACCAGAATACCTAGGTGAATGGTGATATGGTTTAGCTCTGTGTCCCCACCCAAATCTCACCTTGAATTGTAATACTCATAATCCCATGTGTCAAGGGCAGGACCAGGTGGAGGTAATGGAATCATGGGGGCAGTTTTCCCCATGCTGTTCTCATGATAATTAGTGAGTCTCACAAGATCTGATGGTTTTATAAGCATCTGGCATTTCCCCTGCTGGCACTCATTATCTCCTTCCTGCCACCCTGTGAAGAGGTGCCTTCCACCATGATTGTAAGTTTCCTGAGGCCTCTCCAGCAATGCTGAACTGTGAGTCAATTAAATCTCTTTCCTTTATAAATTACCAGTGTCTGGTATTTCTTCATAGCAGTGTGAAAGTGGACTAATATGGATATTAGCAAATGACTGAACTAAGAAACCAGCAAAAACAGATTTAATTACTTGGTTACTTTTTGCTTTAGTCATGGTTCTCTAGAGAACAGAACCAATAGGATGTGTATACATATAAAAAGAGGTTCATTATAGGGAATTGACTCACCTCAGTCTACAGACTGGCAAGTCCAAAACCTGCAGGGTAAACCAGCAGGCTGGAGACCCTGAGAGTCAATGGTCCAGCTCGAGTCTGAAGGTAGCCTGCTATAGAACCAGGAAGATCCAATGTTACAGGTGAAGTCCAAAGGCAGTCTTCAAGAGAATTCTCTCTTCTCAGAGAAGGCCAGATATTTTGTCTATTTAAACCTTCAAGAGATTGGATGACACCCATGCACATTATGGAGGACAAGCTGCTCTAGTCAATGTCCACGAATTGAAATGTCTTATCCAAAATACCCTTGCAGAAACACCAAGAATAATGTCTGACTGAATATCTGGATACCTCGTGGCCCAGCCATATTGACAAGTGAAATTAACCATCACAATTTTATCCTGCATGTTTCTGATAGGATTACACGATAGTTAAAGATCATGGTGAAGAGCAGGGCTTTGGAAGCAGCGGAACTGAGTTTGAATTCTTGCCCTGCTTCCTATTTGAGAAGTGACTTCACATCTGTCTAAGCTTCGGTTTTCTCATCTTTAAAATGGGGATAATAATAGGCTGTTGTGAGGATTTAATAAAATCATGTATGTAACACTCTCGGCACAGGGTCTGTCCCATAGTAGATGTTGGTAAAAGAGAGTTGTTTTATTCATATTGCTGGATATATCTGACATTATTCCCTAGGTGTAATATATACAGAAATACATGCTTTTGGCTGAAAAAGCTGTGAGATGATCAAATCACTTTGGTGCAAAAACTAGCAGTGTGGATGGAAAGGGTATGCCTGTTCTTTCTCTCAGGAAATCCACAGGGTTGGGCACAGGGCCTCAGGTTTTCATTTGGACACCCCAGTAGCCCCACAATACAGGCTGTTCACAAAAGCCCCAATACAGTCACCGTGACAGTCCAGGTGTGAACCCTGACTCCCTACACATAAGCCATGGTGTCCCTCTAGCCTTGTTCCTTCATTGTATCAGCAATCTACTGCCATGATAATGCCACATAACAAATTATTCCAGAGTTCAGTAGCTTGAAACAATAAGCATTGATTATTGCTCCCAAGTCTATAGGTTGGTTGGAAAGTTCTACTGATCTGGGCCAGGCTAGGCTTGTCTTGGCTGAGCTCACCCTTGTCTCCCTGGTCAGCTGGCAGGTTGCTGGGAGCTCATTGGTTTAGGATGACCTCACTCACATGTCGATAGATTACTGTTGGCTGGGGTGTCAAGCACGACAGGTTGTGTGTCTTTCATCATCCAATAGGCTAGCCCGGGCTTGCTCACATGGAGCCTAGAGAGGGTGGCAAGAGAAAGCAGAAAAGCCACAAGGTCTCCTGAGGCCCAGGCTCATCACTTCTACCACATTCTTTCAGTCAAAATAAATGACAAGAGAAGTCCAGATTCAAAGGCCCAGGGTTGTGAGAAGGCTTGGTGTTAGGAACAATCGTAAGAAACCTCTATTTATGGCTGATTGCTAATTAGTGTCGCCTAATTTAGCAATGAAATGTTTCTTCCCATATGTTCCTCTGGAGAGCCCATGGCATTCCTCTCCCCTGCTTAAGGGCCAAAATTAAAGATACAGAAGACTTAATATCTTTACTTTGTTCAAGCTGGTTCACATGCACTTGTCCTCCAGCCTTTGGTGAACTGTTTTAGGACAGGGACAGGTTTAACACAAGGGCCGACTTCTGCAGTGACACTGGGTGTACATATCTGGGTACATGATATGCGGATTTCATTCTTGTTCCAAAGAGAATTTTGAGGGATGAAATATGTAGCCTTTATGGAGGCAGGATTTACTTTGATTCATACAGAGAAAGAAAATGTGTGTATGTGTGTGTGTGTGTGTGTGTGTGTGTGTGTGTGTTTTCAATCCTTGCATGTGATATTTTTTAAGGGCTGGTGTGATAGCTTTGCTTGCCCCAAGAGGATGTCCCAGACAGCACTAGTTGATGCTGCAGAAATGGAAAATTCCTAGGGATATGTAGCCAATGAACCCCTTCGCCCACATTTCCTGATTGTTTGCCGCAGTTTGAACAGTGAGTGGAAAGACCTTGTGCATTCCGCAGGCCATATTCGCACTGTCCCAGCAGACCTGGGAATGTGCCCATTTGATTCAGTAACTGTTCCACCCACCATTAAAATGGACTTTTCTAGCTAGGCGCAGTGGCTCACAGCTATAATCTCAGCAATTTGGGAGGCTTAGGTGGGAGGATCGCTTGACCCCAGGAGTTTGAGACCAGCCTGGGCAACATGGGAAACCCCCCTCTCTACAAAAAATACAAAAAATTAGCCAGGTGTGGTGCACACACCTGTGGTCCCAGCTACTCAAGAGGCTGAGGCAGGAGAATCACTTGAGCCTGGGAAGTCGAAGCTGCAGTGAGCCAAGATTGCACCACCGCACTCCAGCATAGGTGACCAAGGAGACTCAGATTCAAAAAAAATAAATGAATAAATAAATATAAATAAAGTGAACTTTTCATGGTTGGATCTGGTAGTTCCAAATGATTTACACCACTGGAATCTTTTGCATCTTGGATGCTGCTTAGGTCTGAAAACATAGCCTTCTGAGTGATTCAGTTTATACTTGTTTCAGTTCTCTATTGCGGCTTTTACAAACCACCCCAAGATGGGGCACTTTAGAGAAAACTAAAAGACAGGTAGATAATGGTTTGCTCAGCTCTTTAAGTTTTCACAGAGCTTTAACACAAGGGCCAACCTCTTCAGTGACACAGGGTTTACTTGTATATGATATGCAGATTTCATCCTTGTTCAAAAGAGAATTTTGAGCCCATGACAGATGTAGTCAAATTCTTTTCACTGCGTATCTAATGTGTCTTTATATTTTTCCAAAGCCATGGGACCCGATGTGCAGGAGAAGTTTCTGCTGCCGCCAACAACAATATCTGTGGGGTCGGAGTAGCATACAACTCCAAGGTTGCAGGTAAGCCAGCCCTGCCAAACAGCAGGCCCCCACTAGGTATCACACTGATCTCAAGGCTGACCATGGCCCTGATCTCAAGGCCGACCGTGGCCCAGCAAAAAATCTCACTAGTGCAGAAAAGCTAGGATCCACAGATTTGGCACAAGTGGAAAAAATTTTTTTCTTTTAACCTGCATAGCAATATCAATACAGGTTTAAATTTTTAACTTAAGCATAATATAAACTCAAAGAAGTTAATGAATCATAAGTACATAGCTCAGTGACTTTCCCCAAACTGGCCATACCCATATAGTGATCAGGAAACAAAATGTAACCAGCACCACAAAGCCCTTTATGACCCCTTCCAGTTACTACTCAGACACCCAAGAATAACCATGATCTTGTTTTCTAACAGCAAAAAAAAAAAATGGTTATTGCCAGTTTTTGAACTTTATATAAATAGAATTGTCAGTCACTACTCTTCCGTGTCAGTGTCAATAACATTTTAATGAGACTCAAATATAGACTGTAGAATGCAAGGTGGTGTGTATAAATTATTTGTAAACATACTCAGAGCTCTTCAAAATGCTTTGCACAATGGAACTCATCTTTAAAAAGATAAATTCTACCTAGAACCTTTTGCTTACATTTTACTGGGTGGGATATTTAACAATTTCCTCTTTATGGAGCCCTTAGAAATGAGAGTGGCAAGTCCCTGGAAATTTAGAAACCAACATCCCTCCCCTCTCAGAAAAAAAAAAAAAGAGAGAGAGGGACAGACAGACAGAGACAGAAACTGAGAGATTCATAAGCTTTCAACGAGATGTCTGAGAATGGAGTGGCTCCAGTCTTGTTCCAAGTTTTGCATCAAATTGGTTCTTAATTTATTCAGGCTGAGTCACCCAGCCTTATTTTTCTTTTTTCTTTTTTTTGTTTACAACTGTCCTGATACTTTCTTCTCCTGGCAATTTAATGGAACCATAAACCTACTTTCTGCTGACACCTCCATTTCCGTGGAACTAAATAAAGCAAAAGTAACCTATACAAACCCACTATTAACCTCTTTTCAACACTGTTTGCTAAGAGGCTTGCCTGAACTGGGTGCTGAATGTCACAAAAGAATATATCTGGAGGTTTCTAAAATGTAAATAGAGGAGGCTTTGCCCCTGGGTTTCAGCTCTCTTTACTTTGTGTGCATCCAAAATGCTGGCATTAAAATGTCAGGAGCCATTATGAGCTCGGGGGAAAGAACATCACTTGGTTAATATTTTATAAGCCAGGCTCAGATCTGGGATGGAATCTAAGGGAGGTGGGTTCTCTACTCACAGAACAGAACTAGAAGAAGCAACTGAAAAATTCAAACCTGAATTTCTTATTCAAACACCCAAGGTAACTGGTTTTCGGAACAAAGTAAAATGACCACCTGCAAAAGTTAAAAGAGTTAGGGGGAGCTCGTAGGTTTCTGGAGGTTCCTGGGAGCTTCTTTTTCCATCTGCTTCTTTTCCTTTTTTCCCGCCCTCTGAAAACATCTGAGCACTGAGTGCTCATCAAATGTATCTAATTCTCCCGCTGTCTTAGTTTGCTCTTCCTAAAAGCAAAACCTGAGACAAGGATTCCGGGCAAGCAGTTCATGTGGGAGGTGGTCTCGGGAAGCCAGAGTGAGGGAGTCGGGGAAGAAGACAGGAAAGAAATGGAGGCCAACAAAGTGAGTCTCGTGGACAACAGGGGGCCCGTCCTGCAGGTAGTTCTCTGAGAGAGTGTGGAGAACTCCCCCTCACAATTGACCCCACTAAAGTGAGGAGGCTGTGGCGTTAATCTGCGCTTCCCATCGTTCATTGTTTGGGGGTGCCCCTGGGCCTGCCCAATCTGCCCAGCTCGCTTGAACTGAGTGGAGCTCCTTGGGCAGGGGACGCCCCTAGGCAAAAAGCCAGGGAGCAGGCCAGAGGACCCGGCAGGTGCAGCAGCCTCTGCCTCGCCTGCTGAATGCAGCCTGACACCTCAAAGACGCGACTGGGCTTCTGTGAGGACATCTGGGGCATGGCAACAACTCTTTGAGCTTCCAGAAACCAAGAACAGCCACCCAAAGATTTTGAGCAAGGGAGCCTCCTTTCTTTCTTTTCCCACTCCCTTAGCCCCAGCTTGGCTCCCCTGTGACCACGTACGCTGGTTCTAACTACAAGGGCTGCGAGGTAACAGTCCGGTGCCTGTGCCTTAGGGTACCCAGTGTCCTCTGGCTCCCTGAGGCGTCAACATGAATTCTTGAGGAAGCACTGGAGAATTACTCATGGATTGCAAAAACAGCAGAGTTTATCTCACAAATTTAAGGAAAACATTTTATTCAGCCTGGCTGGTAATTCCAAAAGTTGGCTGGTTTTTAATTATTTGCTAAAAATGAGTCAAACCCTCCAGAGAATCTTTCCATTCGGGAGTTTTCTGGGCTAAGGCGGTCTAAAGCGCCACCTGGTGGCCAACTCGGATCGTTGCTGGTCTCAAAGTCGAGGTGTACGTTCATTTACAGGTTAGGGGGGCGCCCCTGTGATGTCTGAGGTCCTTCCCCAGCACCCCTCCACGCTGTCTCCAGAAAAAGCCCAAAGTTAAAATGCTGTTGAGTCTTAATCCAGGAATTCAAAAAAGAAGAGGGGAGATGAGATTGTAAATTGAGTCCTGTGAACAGAAAAAAGCATCGAGCATCTCTGCATCTGCCTGAATTCCTCTTCTGTTCGTAATTTTTTCTCATCTTTCCATCAAGGCTCCTGCCTTTTTCTTGTTGATTTTTAGGCATTCTTGGTGTGTCCCAGAGGTTAGCCCCTAACTCATTTTAATCCGTGCAAAGATCTTCTCCTTCATTTCTCTTCGCGTCTGTCTTCATTTCAAACTATGTGACATGTAGACCCACACATATGGGATGTCCCAAAAGTCATCCTGCAGTCTTCAAGCTTTAATAACCTCAGAAACATCATTCTAAAGTTTATTTACATTTCCATTTTCACTGACCTAATTGTATAAATTTTGAAGAAAAATATTACATGTTTTATTTTGAAAATGCCTTTATTCGAGTAATTCTCTTTTTAAAAAGGACTCCATTCTTTCCTTCTTTCTTTTTTCATTTTAATTTTTAAGGAAATGACAACTTCAATCAAAAAGATTGAGTCAAACATTAAAATTAAATGTGTTGTTCAAAATCCACAAAACCAAGCAAATGTACCACAAACATAATGACCTTCCAAAAGATGGTTCTTGCAGATTTGTCAAATGTATATTTCTGAAACTGTTAAAGCTTAAGACTGTATCAAGGAGTCATAACACTGTCTCCTGCCTTCAGGCCTTTTGTGTGGTCAGTAGTCACTGTGGGCACCTTCCTGTTGCAGGGGATGGAAGCTGGCAGACAGGTTTCCTGCCCCAGGTAGCTCAGTCTAGGAGGAAACAAAGACAGGGAGCAAATAAGAAAATATAAGATAACAACTCATGCAAGAGGACAGAGAGTAACCAGGGCTCAGGAACAAGAAGAGCCTGAGGGTGGGGCTCCGCAATTCCTCACTGTTCTGGGTTTCTGCAGACTCTCAGAGCAACCCCAAGATGGGGCCAGGCCAGGTGGGTTTGGTCCTACTCACCTTCCTTTTTAAACCAAAGCATACAGATTTACACACTGGGCTTCGGGATGAGATCACCTTTGATTGAAGATTTTGAAAAGTATCTTAAAACCACACAGTTGACCACGGTGAAAATGCCCTGAAATTTCTCTACCAGCTATGAATTGCTTTTGTATAGTATTATTATTATTATTCTTGGCCAATGAATCTCATAACACTGCAGATAAACTTATATTTTGTCTGAGCTTTTCAATAAACAAGTAAAAATCATTGTAAGCACAATGACTAATACGAGTTTTCAGAACCTAAAAACTGGGTGAGCATGAACTTCCTCTTTAGCCTCCAGAGCAAATATTCACAAGCACAAAAAGTGGCATTGATGGGCACCAAAGTTTGTGGGTAGATGTAGCATTTACTGGAGGCAGGGACAGGCACAACTTGTGCAACAGGAGCAGAGGCAGAGAGGATGTAGCTCAAATCCGCTGGGCATGCAGCCCCCAGGGCACCAAGGCTAGCCACAGTGCACACTGCTCGGGTAGACGGGGAAGGCTGTAAATGAATGGAAGAGACCCACAAAGTCATCTCTACTCATTAATGTGCTGTGCAGGCCTGCCTGGGGTCAGATAGAAACACTCGATGTGTGCCTGTGTCTGTCCTTGCCCATCAAATACACACATCAGCATTGAAGACACTGACTCCTAGCTCCTTTGATTTCTCTCTCTCTCTCTCTCTC